ATCATTTTTAAGATAGGAAGACAAGACATTGGACATCAGGACACCTGGATTCAAGTCCCAGCTCCGTTCCTTATGTGCTGTGTGCCCTTGATCAGTGCAATGCCCTCCCCTGGGTCCCAATAGCTAAATGTCACTAAGAGTTGAAATGACCTGCTTTGGCGTTAGATAAAATGTGTCAGATCCACCTTACGAGCTCAATTGCTAACTGGGTCACCCTGGGCATGCGGTGAAATGTCTCTGAGTCTATTTTGTCATCTTTCGTGTGGCAGTTCACAATTATCCCTCCCTCACGAGGCTGCGCAGTTCAACTTACACAATGTAGGTCACGGAAATGAGCACGCAGCTTCTGGCATCTGGTGGAGGCTCAGTACATTTTCACTGTGGACTTCATCATCGCTATCTCATCGTTATCTTAGCAGTAGAGAGTTTGAACAAGGTCCCCAATTACTCACCCTTCCCTATGTCCTCATCCTTGGTCATAAGAACTTGCAGCTTCTTCTATTAAGAAGTGGACGTTACTGCTCACCCCCACCTCCTGAATTTGAGCCGTCCTGGAGACTTGCTTTGGCCACTGAGCTCATTTCAACTCGCGGAGACCTCCTAGCTAACAGCAGGAAACGCTCCTCGGCACCATCCTCACAACTGTCAGCATGTTCAACGCCGTCAGTGTGGCAGTTGTGCCCACCCATCTCACTGTGCATCGCTGGCCTCTGCTTCCCCCAGCATGATATGCTCCTCCAGCAAATGGCCATCCCTCCTAGTGTCCTAAACAGTCATCTGGTGTCCTCCGCATGGTTTTCATGGGCCAATTTTCAGAAGTAGCCCACATCATTCTTCTCTGTCTTTATCTGGAAGCTCCATTGAAACCCGTCCACCCTGGGTGACCCTGCTGTTATTTAAAATGCCATTGGCATAGCTTCCAACGGAATAGCATAGCAACATAAAAGGCACCACAGATGGGGAGCTTCAATGAATACAAGTGTGGTCAAAATGATGGTGTGCTAGTTCTGAACCGAGGAATCAAAAGCTACTGCATGTTTCTGCTTCCTGCCATGGAACACAAGCCTGGGCCAGTCTACTGGAGGACTGAAGAATAGATGAAGTGAGCTAGCGGTGCTAGCTGAGGCTATCTTGAATCAGCCTGAAGCCAGCCAAACTCAAACATGTAAGAGAAGTGCCTATTTGATCAACATATGACCACGGATGTGTGAATGAGCCAGTGCAAAGTTATAAAAACGATCCATTGAGCTGTCAACCCATGTGCAATCAAAAATGTTCATTTTTCCCAGCCACTGGGGCTTGACAGGATGTGTTAGGCACAAATAGTTTCCATGCTGCCTGCTGTCTTCATCTTTAGCATCAACTCTAAGCCTGGGTCTTAGAGTCCCTGGGTAGTACAAACAGCTAATTACACTCAGCGACCACCTGAAAGGTTGGAGGTTCAAGCCCGCCCAGGACAACTTGGAAGAAAGGTGTGATGATGGTGGGGGGTGGGGGTGGGAATCAGCCGCCAGAAACCCTTTGGAGCCCAGTTCTACTCTGACATGCATGCCACCGGAGTCAGGATGGACTTGGCTGTGGCAACTAGTGATCTCCATATACAAAGAGAGCAAAGGGTCATTAAAAAGACAGGAAAGGGAGAAAAGACCAACATGGACATCGGAAGAGACCCTGAAATGTGCTCTTCAATGCAGACTTGCTGAAGCAAATGGAAGACATGGTGAAAGTGAGCGAGCTGAACAGAGGGTGGCAAAGGGCAGCTTGGGAATGCGAAGTCATAGGAAGAGATGAGGCGTTAGAAGACCAAAGAGGAAAAACATGCTCAGCACTCTTCAAGCTGAAGGAAATGAAGGGAAAGGCGGGCCTGGAGTTAAATTATTGAAGGAGTCAATGGGC